ATAGAGAAGTGAAGGTTGCCAATGGGAATCTATCTTTTAAGCGGTTAAGCTTAGGTAAGTCAAGAGCCAAAGCTCTAATTACCAGGATTGTGGGTCCCGACTGTGTAATGGCACAATCCAAGAGGAGGTGAATTGGGTTTTCTTAACAACTGAATAAATTTTAGAAATTTCTAACAAAAGCATTAAGAAAATTCTAGTGCAAGCGGAATAACACACAGAACTGTGTGAAGTAATATATATAGATTAGAATCTCCTCCAATGTTTCACCAATCAGATAATAGAAAGTCTGTGCAAAGTGGGTGTAGCTATTGATTAGAACAGCTTCACACGACTTGTATAATATCAGAAAGCTTTCTTATGAAGGAAAGTTATCGAACTTCAGAACTTCTCATAAAGTTTGCAAAAACAATATAACAACTATGTGAAAGATATTATTAAATTCAGAAACTTCTTCACAGAGCCTTAATCAAATATTAAAGTAACTTATGATGGAAAAAAAGTTATTCATACAATCCTTATAAAGTTTGACAACAAAATCAAAAACCAAACAAGTGAATGTATACTGGCTAGAACTTGGTATATTCACTGAGCAGAAGTCCAGAGTTCTAATGTTCAGAAAAGACAAAGCTTATTCCAGTTTAGAACACCAAAACCATTAACAACTTTTAGCATTTCTAAAATATAAATAGAAGTGCAAGTAAATAGTATCAATCAGAAACTTCAGAAAGTAAAAAGATCAACATAGTGATTTATAATGGTTCGATACTAACTCGCCTACATCCACTCCCCAAGACCCATTTTGAGATCCTCAACTATGTTATCTCTTTTCAAGGGTAAGAGACAAACCAACAGTACAAGGCAATAGATCAACTCCTAGATCTACCCTTTTGTCCCACTTAGATTTTCAAAGGTTCTAGTTAACCTCAACCCTTTTCTGTTTTTTGTTAGAGCTACAGAAAACCTCGATTCAAGACATTACTATCCCACATTATGGAGAAGGTCGCTTGATAACTTCTATCTCAATAGCTTCTAAACCTAAGCTATTACACACAAAGTTTACAAATAAAGAGTCTGTCTACATAGATTACACAATCTTAAAATAGACAGAAGGTAAACGCATTAGATAAGCACAGAAAAACAGTTTTATCAGATTAGAATCGATTAGAACACCAGGATCTGTTTTTTCAAAGTATTGTAAAAATTTTCTTCCTTTAAAGATAGAAAACGTTACAGTGTAGAGAAGAAAAGAAAATTGGGGGGTATGGAGAGTAATTTTGAGAGATTAAGGATTCGTTCAATGAGAGAGTTGCTCTTAAAACAAAAACTCTTACTTCACCCAAATGTTTAAGGCGTGAACGTTCCTTTATTATAGGAAGCAAGAAGCTGATGTCTGTGTTCTTTCGCCTTTTTGGAACAAGAGATAGGAAATCAGAATATCTTCTTCCCTTATTAGAGGATCTTGAAGATCTGAAAATCTTTGTTACCAAAAATTATTTTGTCCCTTTTTGGTAAGAGAATAAAACCCGATTTTCACTTACCTTTAGAAAAGATTTTCGACAGCATTTAATTTTGGAAGGAAATTTTTGCGGAAGGATATTCTTGCTAAAATCGAAAGAGATTCTCTTTCGTTTTTAAGGTAAGAAAGAAAATTTTAAGTGCATTAGATCTTTCAAAAAAAATATTTCCAAAAGAGAGTGATTTGTATTACCAAAAACATTAGAGAAGAAATCTCTCTAGTTTTAGGAAAACAAAATTTTTCGATTTAAAGAAATATTTTCGAAAATAAATTATTTTGAAGAGAACTAATTTTTTGAAAAATATTTTTGAAAGAGAAATAAATTTTTGTGCTCTTATATGGATTTTCTCTCTATCCTACAAAGTTTCCTAAATTCCTAGCTACTAGGTCTTCGAAATCTTCACACTCAAAGTAGGTTTTGCCTTGTATGATTTTCTTTCCATTTGGTTTATTGATTTTCTTTTCAAAGGAATTTCTGCATTAAAAATTAAACATTTAGCTCTGCATAAAAATAAAATTAGCACAAATAATATAATTTTAAATTTATTCGTTTTGTATTAATCATCAAAATCCGAGATTAAAAAATTGACCCTTGAGCCAACATAAGAATGGAAAGAAGAGGAATGAGATGAAAAATATGGGTGTCTTGTCTCTCCTCATCCAATTAGCCATATCCTGATTCAGTCCAAACCAGATGAGTTTGGCTTAATTCAATTTCTAGAAGGTTTTCACTTGGTTTCTAAGTGGTTCAAGTTTGATTAAATAGTTTTGAGTTGGATTTTGTCTCATTTTTGTTGAAATTAAATCAAAATCTCTTGGAACAATAAAAATTGACTGTTTCAATTAAATTTAAATTATTATAAAAACTTCTAAATTGCTTCATAAATAATTTTATTTTCATTAAAATTCAGTTAGGAAATTATAATAAGATTTACAATTTTTTTTTCCTTAACAAGTTGTTTAATTATTGAATTTTTATTTATTATTTTATAAAATATTCTTTTTTTATTTTGTGCATGATCTTAGATTTTAATAATATAAACTGTTCATAATATTATAATTTATATTTATTTTGTGCATGATCTTAGATTTTAATAATATAAACTGTTCATAATATTATAATTTATAATATAAAATAAATAAAAAATTATCTATATAAATTAATTACATTTACTTGAAACAAATAAAAATCAATATACAATACACGTTCGAGAAGACTAGTTAGATTAAAGAGCACCAATGGTAGCTCGAGTCACTAAGTGGAGTAGCTAATTAAATAACACATTTGTGGGTCACAGTTGGAAAGAAAGCCTGTAAAGTGGATTGGCCGAATACATAATTTAATCTAAACTTTAACAAAAAAAAAAAAATCTTGTAGCACTCTAAATTTTAAAATTGACTTTGTGGTACCCTGAACTTCACACTTTTTAATGATCCAATATCTCTTTACACTAAAAATAATAATTTTAAAGATTTTTAATTTTTATATGCAAAATATGTATTTGGTATGTGGTTAATACAACTATTAAAACATAATTTTTATATTTTTTTAACTATTCAATAAGTGTTTAGCAAGTTGAAGTGTTCAATCGGTCAAATAAAATATTTAATAGATTCAATTTTATAAATTAAAGTGTTCATAGATAAAAGTAAATATTAAATAATAATTTTTGTGAAAAGTATACGAATGAATTTATGTATTGAGCCAAAGTCGGTATAATTTCTTTAATAGGAATTTTGGCAGTACAAATATGGCAGTAGTAGTAGCTTAAGTACATCTCTTTAGATTATGATTTTAAAGTGCAAACAAGTTGGTTGTTTCTCATTCTCACTGCCATGAACTTGAACTTTAGTTTTAACAGCACTTCAATTCAAATTCTACTCACTTAATGAATAAAAAATTATTTTTATGGAACTCACAATCTCTCTTATGATCAAGTTAACCAAAGAAATAGGTTAACCCAAATGCACTGTTTAAAACTTCTTTCACCCCCATCACGTCGCTCCATCCCCTGCATTGCTGATCATATTTTCAACCATTGTCCAGTAAAAATAAGGCAATAATCTTCTTTTCATTCTTTCAAACTGTAACTCAATTTTTTTTTTTTGACAGTAAAAACTGTAACTCAATTGATTTTACCATTTAACCAACTTTCTGGTGCGAAACGAAAAAGAAGAAAATTCGACAAAAAGATTTCACTCTTGCTTTTGAGCCGAAAATTCGACAAAAAGTTTTTGGCCATATAGTTATATGTTACGTTTTATAAATTTGATTTGACAATTGAATTTATCTATTTTACCATTTTCAGTGTTATAATTCTCTAAGGAAATATTTATTTGTTAATTTCTCTATTTAAAATTGTGTGTTTTCAGTGACCCATTCCTTGAATTAACTTGACTATGAAAAAGAGTGTGAATACCAAAAAAAATAATTTTTTTTTTATATACTAAAATCAAGTAGAATTTGAATTTAGGGCACTATTGTAACTGATGTTCAAATTGTTCAAATTCAGGATAATCGAAGAGAAAGTTAGATTTAAGATAGAATTAAAATAATCCGTAAATTTTACTCTCTATAACAAATAAATTATTTTTTGGCCGGCTAGCTGTTTGGGCTGGTTTCTTTACTGATTACAAGATCGTCTCCATCTACTTCTCCGAGCTTTTCCTCAAAGCCTCAATAATAAAGAAAGGGTCAGCATCATAAATAGTTGGTATTGTAATCATCTATCTTACTTCTGGCTTGGATCAGCAACAGAGATATGTATATTATTTGTTGGTATGGAATTGGGAGTGTGAATCTCTTCTCTCTCCTGAGGGTTGGATCTTCCTTCAGTTTCGTGATCTTGGGAATAGTGGCTCTAAGGCCTAATAATCCTGTTCGGCAATAACGTTTGGAATAGGGTTAGTATTTTGACTTAGTTAAAATACTATCTTAATTAATTATAGCCTTAGATAATGTAATATCTATCCTCCCTAACATTTAGCGTTTTTATAAATTTTTTAATAACAGTTGACAGCTAAGGTTGCCGAACAGGGCCATTGTAGGTTCTTCTAAGTCCTAAGGCCAACAACTTCTTTGCTAGCAGTAGTTCATGTTTTTAGACGCATCAATTATCCCTTAATTCAATATCAGGTGCAGCTTTGAATTCTTTCAGATATACTAATGGCCTGTGTGAGAACTTCATATATCCTGAATGTTAAAAGTAAATTAGTTGAAATCACTATCCTCAAACACTTCAAATTCAATACTGAAAAAGTAAAAGAATTATCTTCTTTTGTATAAAAGGGTTTCAAAACCCCACAAGGTTTTACAAATTTCATCTCATATTGATCAATTATCCCTTAATTCAATATCAGGTGCAGCTTTGAATTCTTTCAGATATACTAATGGCCTGTGTGAGAACTTCATATATCCTGAATGTTAAAAGTAAATTAGTTGAAATCACTATCCTCAAACACTTCAAATTCAATACTGAAAAAGTAAAAGAATTATCTTCTTTTGTATAAAAGGGTTTCAAAACCCCACAAGGTTTTACAAATTTCATCTCATATTGTACAAGATGAATGAACAGGTACAAAAAATGTATAAATGATTTTGACAAGCTAGAAAAGAAAAAGAATGATGAAAAAAATCCCTATATCATCTTTTCTATTCACATGAAAGAATAAATCAGTTAGAAACTACTTTAAACGACATGTTATCTACGGTTGTTATTGATGTCTTTCCAACACTGTAAGTACGGTGTTTCAAAATTCTCCTTTTCAAGCCATTGTTGCAGGTGCTTCAGCACTAAACCCAGCTGGTATACACACCTTTAGGTTGAATGTACCCAGACTTCTTGCATGGGCAATCCTTCTTGGGGACAAGTTTACTTGCTCTAATGCTCGAAACTGGAGCTCCGAAGGATAGTCCCTAACACATCCGATCCGTGGCCCTGCCCCTGTTGTCCATTTGCAGGACAACTGTTTACCCAACTGAAATGACTTTGTTTCCTTCTTTGAATTAATCCTTTGGAGAATTGCCTCTTCAGGAATTTTTTCTACTTCATTATCTTCATGTTCTTCAAACAATTTTTTCTTCAGCACCTTGTCACCCTGTTCTGTAATCAATTCTTCACCTGCGACGCATTCACAACCATCTTCTACAAGAGGATCTGTATGTGCATTGTTGACACTTGGTACAACAGTTGCATTTGCAGTCTGTACACCCTCAAACAATTTATCCCTCTTTGGTATTTCAAGATTGGTCAATTTCCTACTAAAGCTGTGGACCTGTCCTGACTTCTGTTCTTCCAATGCTACAGAAATCTCATCTTCCATTATATCAATACTCTCCATAGTCAAGTTTTCAGTGTTGATTTCTTCTATATCTAGGTCATTCACAGTTTGGATCAAGTCCTCTTCAGATGAGTATGCTCTAATATGCCTACTGCTCCGCAGCTTATCAAATGAGCCATCTTCCTCATCTACTGGACTTGTCTGAAATAACAGAAAAAACAAAAATGACAACATCAGCATATAACCTAATAGTTTTCGTCTCTAATATTCAGAAATGAAAGATTTAAACTAAAATTGAATTGTTCTCGTTTCTTTACCTTTACATCAGTGAGATCCACATTGTTTTCTCGGAGAAATGAAAGGAAGTCTTTAAAATTTTGTTCTGTAGGCCGATAATGTCCACTATGTGGCCAAACTGCCTGTTGAAAAATCGAAACAAAATCATGAGTAACGGACCATTCTAACATCCAAGTACTGAAAAAGATTACAATGAACATGGGATAAACTATATACCTTAAGAACGCCGCTTTCAATGATTAATCTACCAGCAGCAGTCGTAACTCCTCCAGCCAAGAAGCTGGAATGCTGGAACGTACCTTTCTTTTTCTTGCCAACATATAAGGTCTTAGATGTACTAAGGACGAAAATCCACTTAGCATCTGCAGTAGTATGAAGCAGCTCCCCTGTCTGCTTGTAAATGAACTTCCCCTCCTCCACCACAACTTCATAAGCCTTTCTCTCCATCTGTAAGTAAATATTTTTCTTCAGTTAAAACATGTCCAGTTAAAAAGAGGAAAACATAGGGATAATCACAATAGTATATCAAAGCTTACCGGACCAAGATACTTGATGCACTGCTGTTGAAGTTTTGTTCGAGGGCATTTTTCAAGATTTACTTCCTTTCCTTCTCCTATATCTAGCCTGCAATTTCAGAGCCAGCATACATAAGTTTAATTTCAAATCCATGATGTCTAGAATCAAAATCTTTCACTGCAGAAGCAAAAAGCTTTAGAATAAAGAAAATTACCAGTAAAAGAAAGGTTCTCTACTCTTAGAATGAAGCCAGTTTACATAATAGAAGTGCAGGTTATGTCCGTATCGATGTCGTGGATCAATCTGTTTTTCCCAAAAGAAAAATGTAGGATTTCGAGTTAGCAATAGTGAATAAAGAATAAAACAAACTTTATTTGTAAAAATTCTTTAGATATAACTTAACTTACCGCTTCAAGCCAATGTTGTAAAGCAAGCTTTTGAGCTTTGTCATTTTTTGACAAACCTTTCCCAACCTTGGCAGCTCTTGTTCTTGCTCTCGACCAACGAGAAATGGCCGTTTCATGTTTCTCAATATCAAAGAATGATATAGAACTGTGTTTGAGTTCAGCAAAATCTAAAAGTTTCCACCTATAAAACAAAGGATTGAATTAGAACATGATCAAATATCTCTAAAGTTCTATATAAAAAAGAAAAAGATTCGCATTTCTTAGATACATACCAGCTCTGCTCAACAAGAACAGCACAATCTGCAAGCTTTCTCCTGGTTCTGAAGCTTTTATACACTTTCTGCAATTTTACAGCAGCCTGGTGCTTAGGATTGCTGGGATCCAAAATTGGAAATTTTTGGACCATTCCTGCATCACTATCAGAGTTGTGTGCCTGATTATCTTCCTCAGTGCTACTTGTCCTTACTGCAGTAACCACAGCATCCTTTTCTTTGTGCAGTGAACGGTCTTTAACTGAGATCCCCTCTTCCAATTCTCTGCCCTTAAAGCTAACAGATCTTTCCACTATCATCTTTCCAGAACCCAAAGATTTCATTATCATGGGCTCCAAATCTCCACTGCCAAAACTAACTGATCGCACAGGAGTTTTTGATTCATCATTTCCAAAGCTAATAGATTTGACAGTAACACATTCAAATGCCTTTTCCAAATCGCTGTATTCGGCGAATGGACAGGAAAACAAAATTCCCATTCGAGAAGGAAATGAGTTTGCAGCAACTTATAGGATTCCTGTTAAAAGAATAAAAGATAAATGACATAAGTTAAAAATGCCATGTTTGTAAACGCATTGCATAATAAACATATACAAGCTCCTGTCAGAACAAGCTGTAAACATATTCAAAATGAGACAAAAATGAAAAACTTCAGATAGACCAGTTGGTTGTATTAGTGATATTCTACTGGAGGCATCATATTACTATCATATTACAATAAATGCATGTAAATAAAATTATCATGCTATTTTAACCAAGAAAGAGAATAAAATTTAATTGCCACGGATCTGGAAAACCATGGAAATAAATGTCAAGGAAAGCAAATCTTAAATCTAACCAAAATTCTACAAGAATATACAAAAACATTTCTATTTGACAACAGTCTAGTCCAATAAACAAAACCCAGAAACCCATTCCCAAGAAAATAAAATTTTCTAATTCTAAATGAACTGATTGCTACAATTACCTAATATAAACAAACCCATTTTTAGAAGAAAATGGATCCACAAAACTAATAACAGGAAAAATGCAAATTCTCAAAGAGATAAAATTGTTAAAATAGCTTTGCAAATATAATCAAGACCAAAAGAAAGAAAAAGAAAAGAATCAAGAATAACACTCAGTCCATTCATAAAGCTTTAAAACTTTAAAAAGAACAAACAAAAATGCAAAAGAACAAGCATTTACCAATACAGCTAGTTCTTCGCAATCTAGAAAATATAACAAAAACGCAAAATGGTAAAGAAACCCATTTAAGTGAATCGAATAAAAAGAACATTACCTTGAATTATAGATTTGTAACCCAACAAAAAGGGAGATGGAATGTATTTATAACCCAACAAAAAGGGAGATGGAATGTATCTTTCAAACTTTTTGCTCTTTTGCAAGTTTTTGAGGCTTTCAAAGCTAAAACTACCGTAGCTTACCTTGTCTTTGATGGAGTTATATATATAAGGGCCGACAACACTGAAAGTGAGACGCTTTAGTGCGAGAAAATAAATAGGTGGAGAGAGAAAGTGTGATACTCTGTTTCCAACCACGTGGAATTGACCACCAGCGGAGGTCCATCTTCTCAAAACTGTAAATTAAAAAGCCCTTTTTTTTGGTTTCCGAAAGGTTTTTACCTTGCTCTGTTTTTTTTCTAAAACATTTTATTTAACTAATTTAAATTCGAGATCTCTCACTTTTCACACTAGTGCAAATACCAATCAAACTACACATGATTAGCATAGATTAAAATCATTCAATCTTATAAAAATCATGAACTTTAAATTACTTTTCGACTTGAGTAGCTTATGAGTTATGAATAATTAAAATGGTCTAAACAAAAAAATAATAATTTGATATTTTAGATATTTATTTTTTAAAATTTATTTTTGGAACAAAAGAAAAATCTTAAGGTGAAATCAGAAATAAAGTTAGTTTTGAAAAATCAAAGGAAGCATGTAAAAGTGAATACCATATGGAATAAATTTGAAGTGAATACTATTTTTTTAGCTAAAGAAATCAAAAGGATAGAATTTGACCTTTTCATAATCGCCATCGCTTATGTCATTAGACCCTCCCAAGTAATCGCTAATAAGGTAATTGCTAACGTACCTTAACTTGCAAGCTTTTGTTTATTTCACACTAATAACTTATCCTACACTAATCTAGAAATTTCAAGCTAAAACTATGTTTTGTTTTAATTTCATTTATTATATTAAATTTGTAAAATATATATATATATAATATCTTGAAATATCAAAAAATTACGAGAAATAACAAGAAATTAAGAATTTTCGGAGAAAAAAGTTATCTAAAATAGTAATTTAAAAACATTATTTGAATCAAATTGTGACATATCCACTTGTCATCAATTTATTAATCCTGAAGTTAGCTAAGCTAAATTGTGGTTGGGAAGATGATGTATTTGCACACGTGGAGGCTTTTTGGATGGATATGAGTGGTTGAAACTAATTAATTTAAATAAAATTAAAATTTTGAATGGGAAAATGAAAATGAAAGCTAAAAAGTGAGTGAAACTTCCATCACAGTGACCAAAAAGTTGACCTGAATATTCCACGAAGAAAAGGATTTTGATGGGCTAATAAAAACAAAAAGGTCCTTAAAAAGTCTAAAGCTTGTCCCTATTTTAATATATACATATCTGGTGAAAGCATGCAGCTGCGAGCTTTGAATAGACAAATATTATTTTAATATATAATAATTAATTATATGCACAAGTGATGTTTTTATTTTATTTTTTTGTTTTTTTTTATTTTTTGCATTATATTGGAGAAGGATTGTTCATGCATTTTTGGTATGAGAATTTATAAATAAGTCCCACTAATTATATAATTCACAGCACATCGCTCATTTCTATTATCAACAATTTAGTGAACTGATGCATCCTCAATGATATCTATTTTTTTTAATTTTTTAAAATTTATTTCATTTTAATTTATAGAAGCTATATTTTATTCTAATAAGAATAATAATAAAAATATATTTTGATAATATTTTTTTTTCATTATTAAATATTTTAATAAATACATGAATGGAAAAATAATTTTTATCATTTGTCTTTTATTTGTGGGTAATTTAAAATATAAAAATTACTATTTTATCTTTGTATTATTATGCTGAAATACAAGAATTTGCCTATTTATTTTCTAAAAAATCTGAGTGCTTTTTTTCTATTTTTTTTATTAACAATAATGAAAATTAAATAAAGCAAATAACGCGTAGCCGGAAAAACAAAAACCACCAACAAATACTATAATACATGTATTTCTGTGTCGGAAAGTAGTGTACAAAAAGTAACTCGTACAAGAAATATAGAAATCAAATATTTCTGTTGAGTATATTAATTTAAATATATATTTAATTTAATTTCCATTTTTATAGAAAAACCTGAAATTTTAGAAAATAAAGTTAAATTAATATAAGTATTGAAAAATGAAATGAAATTCAGATGGATGCGCCGATTTAGAAAAGTTTGAACGCAATCAAATTTGAAATTTTGTTTGGTTAAGAGATCTTGGACTTAAGATATGACCAGTAAAATAAGGGACACAACGCTCTTTTTGAGCTTTCGGCTTCTACTTTTTTTGCCAATGTGTATGTGTGTGATGATAAACATTGTCCCTTGGTGCCACGTGTTTTCTTTTAACTTTGAATAAACCCCATCCAAGTCAAACCTTAAAAATATCACTATTTTATCTATTTACACTACAAAATAAATAAATAACTTATATCCAAACTTTTTCAGAAAAAAGAATTTAATTATTCATAAAAAAAAATTAACTAGATCACGTCTCGTTGAGAAAATTAAATTATACTTAATTAAGTAAAAAGTAAAATTTTAGATATTAAGATTAAGAGATTTTTTTAAAAAATATACATATATATATATACATATATATAACTTTGAATGCAGCTTTGAAATATAAATTCTAATAAGTTAGAAAATTTCCTTTTCTAGTCTAAATTAAATTCTATGTAGACATTTTTTATTCAATAATTTAATTAAGTTGTTGAGGAGCAGCTATTAATGGTCGGTTGTCGACGTATAATATCAAACTTTAGTAAGTAGAAATTTTGCTTTAAAATTTCAATCATTGCAACATTGAATTACTAATCATTAAATTTTAAATTATTACTTTAAAATTTATTTTATATTAAATTTTACTTTACTTACTTATAAACCGTTTTAGAGTAGTTATTTTGTCCAAAATATAAAACGTTACGAGTATTTTAAAGAGTAATAAATGATATTTTTTTTCAATTTTTCCCTTATTTATATTAGATATAAGAACTATCTTCAAAAGTTATTGCTTATATTAAAGGGTAAGTTGATCAAATTACGATTGATTTTATTATAATTTAATAAAATTAATTGCTTTTTTAATTTTCATATAAAAACTTTAAATGAATTATATTTTGAGACTAATAAAGTATTACTTTTAGACGTAAGCCTAAGAAGTAATTTGATCACATTACCTCTAATTTTATTACTCTCTCAATTTCCAAATACTTGTTACATTTGTAATTATTTTTTTACTTTTACCTGTTGTATGTCCAACAATATTTAAAAAAAATAAATAAATTTAGTGTTTAGATATTATAAATTAAGGGTAATATAATCACTTTATTTAAAAATTAATTATAAATTAATAAAATTTAATAATTATTTTAAAAAACGTGAAATATTTAAATATGATAAATATTTGAGAAGGAAGATAGCATATATAATTTATTGAGGTCGATTATTTTTTAATTTCGATATAAAAATTTTAAAAAATTTATATTTTGAGATAAATGAAATATTATTTTAAAGTTTGACAACATAAAATTATAAAAACACGTGGCTAAACCAAATCTCAATAAATTAACTGGGGCAGATATCCAAATTCCAAACACCATGCAAAAGTTTACGCGCCATCCGACGTTTGACTTAAAAATATGGATATGAGAAATAGAAAATTTAGAAGCAATGATCAGAAAAATCAACGACAAATCAGGAAATGCGTTGGCAAATACAACTGTCATTTCAGATCTCCATGCATTAGTATTGAGATGGGTACTTAGTACCGTACCAGATAATAAATCCATGTGTCAAACGGCAGTTCTACCACGTTTTGCTGTTTGGTGCGGTTGATACAAAACCTACCTAACGTATTTAGAATTTTAGACAGCCGTATCCCGTGGCAGAAGCCGGTTTTGTGAAATCACTTTTCAGAGAGATTGTCCAATAAGTACAAGCCATGTACCTTATTAATATGGTTATCTAAAGATTTATATATACCGAGTGTATAAATATATAATAATAATCGATACAAATAACAGTATATAACATAGAGTTTGAGTATTCAAGGGTTAAAAATAGAAATACAGTAAATTTTAAATATTGAAGGTTAATATGTATGTATATTTCTTAAAAATATAATATAAGTAAAATTTCAGAGAGGAATTTGCAAGTTGAAAAATTTTAGGAATTGACTATATATACTTTTGAAAAAATAAATAAAAATTATGGCAAGTTTCTACAAAATAGCGATAAACAAATAATTTTTTAAGATAATTAACTGTAGACTAGGGTTGTGCTCAACAACAGCTTCCAAAGCAGTTTTTAGCGTTTTAACTAACGTTATTTTTTTATAATGTTCATTTAATATAGTATTTGAACTCGCTTTTAGATGTTAATGTAATGTTTTATAAAAAGTTAACTCTGGTAACATTTAGCTTTTAGCGTTTCATGAAAAGCTTCTCAAACAGCTAAGAGCATTTCCAATGCAAATGTGGATTGCTCTTATTTAATTGCCACATCAGAAAAATGGAAAGACTTTTGAAAAATACTCTCCAATGTCAATGTCTATTTAGGATGTCAAGCTGATGTGTCAAAAAAAATGAATAGATATTATCTATTACACCTTCTATTTCTAGAAGGTCTCTTAAACAATTTTAACATTTATTGCTCTTTGGTAATTGATTGCAAATTAAATTGTGGGTGCAGAAAAAAAAGAAAAAAAAGAAAATAGAAGAATATTCAAAACTAATGCATTGAAGAGAGTTTTTTAAAATCCATTGTCTGTAAATAGACATTCAACCACATCGTCATTTACACTTTCCATTTCACATGATGCATCAGCCACAATCCACAATAGCATTGAAAATGCTCTAGCAGCTAAACGCCGCAAAACAACTAATAGCTATTGAAACAATTAATTTTATCAAACAGATATGAAGTTAATAAATAAATATATATATATATATTGATATTTTGCTATATGGTGAATGTCGATTTGTTGAATAAGGGATTTTATTCTTAACCATAACATGCTTCAACCATGATTAACGTTTTCTTGAAGCGGGTATAGCTTGAAATTTAGTTTTTTTTTTTTTTTTTTTTTTTTTTTTTTTTGAAGTTTTTAAAATCATTGTCTGTAA